TATCAAAAGTTTGTAAAACTAAGAAATTGAAAAATCAGCACATTAAAAATTCGAAAAATTCAACCCAGAAATTAAAAAATTTTCCAAAATCGAAATATTGGAAAATTGACAAATCGAAAACTTGAAAAATCGAAAATTAGAAAAATTGGAATTCGAAAAATTGAAGAATCAAATTACTGGAAAATCAAAAAATTAGAAATCGAGAAATCGAAAAATCTAAAATTCAAAAACCTAAAAATTGAAATATAGAAAAATTTAAAAATCGAAATTTGAAAAGTTCCAAAAGTGAAATGACGAAAACTTGGGCAGTCGAAAAATTGGAAAATGGAAACGTCGAAAAATTGAAAAATCGAAAAGCGGAAAAATCGAAATGTCAAAATTCGAATAATTCAACCCAGAAATTGAAAATTTTCTAAATGAGATGTTGAAAAATTAACGACAAGTCGAAAATTTGAAAAATCGAAAATTTGAGAAATTCCAAAACTGAAATGAGGAAAAATTGGGAAGTCGAAACGAAAAACTGGAAAATTGAAAAGTTGAAAAATGGAAAAGTCGGAAAATTGTAATACCAAAACTCTCAAAACTACAAAGTCGGAAAATTAAAACATCAAAAAATTGAAAAACCTTAAATCAAAAATTCGAAAAATGGAAAAATAATAATAACAAATCGAAAATTTAAAATATCGAAAAACTGAAAAACTGAAAGATCAAGAAAGCGAGATATTTAAAAATCTTTTAGAAGTCGGAAAAATTGAAAAATAGGGAAATCAGAGAACATAAAAATCAAAAAACCACAAAATTTAGAAAATCGAAAAATTAAAATAAAATTGGACGACTTATTAGACTCGATTAATTATGAAATTGAAAAATTGAAAAATTTGAAGTATTGAAAAAATGAAAAGTCGAAAAATCGGGAAATCGAGAAATGGGGATATCCAAAAATTGAAAAATCAAAAAGTAGAAAAGTCAAGAAACAGAAAAGTCGAAAAATCGATTAATCAAGAAATCGAAAAATCGAAGTATCGAAAATTTAGAGACGCTAAAAATAAAAAAATTGAAAAACTGAAAAATCGAAAAACTGAAATATCGGAAAACTGAATAATTGAAAAACTGAAAAATCGAAAAGTCGCGAAATCAAAACATAAAAAAATAAAAAATCTAAACTTCAAAAATTCAAATTTGACGAATTGAAAAAGAGAAAATTCGAGAAATCGAAAAATTAAATTCTCGAAAATTTGAAAAACCGAAAAATACAAAACTTAGAAGTCGGAATATCGAAAAATGAAGAAATTCAAACGTAAAAAGTGAAACATCTAAAAATTAAAGATTCCAAAAATTGAATAACACGGAGAACTGAAAAATCGAAAAATTTAAAAATTCGAAGAATTAAAATATAATAAAATTGGACGACTAAGAGATCGAAAAATTATAAAATTGAATAATCGAAGAATTAAAAAACTGGAAAATCGGGAAATCGAGACGTCGACAAATCCAAACATCGAATCGAGAAATCGAAAAATAGGAATATTTAAAAATGGAAAAATCGAAAAGTCGGAAAGTCGAGAAACCGAAAACCCGAAAAATCGATTCATCGAGAAATTGAAAATTGAGGACGAAAAAAAATTAAAACAGAAAAATTGAAGAAGAGAAAAATGGGAAAACCTCAAATCTGAAATTTCGGAAAATTGTATATTCGAAAAATTGAAACATCGAAATTAAAGAAAATACAATAAAATGTAAAACTGAAAAATGGACAAAATATAGAGAAAATGACAGACAGACAGATAGACGGAACGAGGGGAGCTATTTTTTCAAACTCTAGGGGTCATGAAACGTCTAGAAAACATGAAAACAACCAGTCGCCAGATGGACTCCATTACAACCCTTCCTTAGCCCACACTCGAGAAGTAAAAACGTGTAGAAGACGATTTGATCGAATCCTGTATTACTGTCTTCCAGGAGATAACACAGAACCCCACAGCCCTACTTTTCGAGCTCCCCTCCCTGCAAGACTTGTTAGCAAGCCATAATAGTGGCGAACGAAGGTCGACGGGGGTCTCAGTGGCACAGTTGTTGTAAGTGAGAACGGTTGGAAATTCACAGTTGACCTGGCGTGTTCATTAATCATGCGATGAAGCGGTTTCCCCAGTAATGAAAAACGGTCCGCTTTATCATCTGTTTTGCGGCCCGTTTAGTTGCAATGATACTTCGGGAATTTAATTTGAGGATGAAAAAAAAGACACCTGTGCGAGTTCCCCGATGCGAGGAGGTGCAAAAATCCACTCTGAATAAAATAAAGCGCCGTCTATTAAAGAGCTTTAAAACTTGGAGAAACATCACGGAGTCATACGTTCGAGCTGGGAAAAGTTGGGCGCTATTCATGGCGGGGCTCGGACACGGTGCGAGTGGGAGGAGGACGCAGGATGGAGAGAGGAGTCTTAAATGCCGTTATATACATCCGCATTGTGTATTTGCCCGGAGAAGTTTAAAGCCCTTTTAATAGCTCATTAAACTTTCTTACATCGATTCCTGTTTTGTACCTGTCTCTCGATGGAGTCGCGATTGAGACACCGACCGAGTGGACGATAAAAGGGAAAGTTCGCGTGATTACTTTTTCGTTCCGATAGGCGCAATTGCTTCACTTCCAATTTCGATCTAAGGACACATCTTGCTCGATACGCGAGCTGTAAGTGACCTTGATCCTTCCGCCGGAATTCCCTGCACGTGGCTTCGATCGACTGCTCTAAAATTTGAATATAATAAAAGCGAAATTATAAGATATCGCGGAGTTCCAATAATCCAGTTTTTATTCTCCAGTCGAATAGTTTTTTGGAAAATATGGCGGCTGCGAGTTATGGCGGCTGGGGAGCTTAGGCTGAAATATTATCGGATCGCTCGATAAAAGAGCGACTGATAGATTTTTGGCTAATTTATGGCCTCGCGCAGCAATAAAATCCGAAAATGCTGAAATCTTGCCTTCGAAAATCGCCCACTGAAATTTCAGCTCACGTGAAATATATTTCTGTATTGAGTAGCAACAACGAATTTCAACGAGCGTTTTTACATGGAACATACACGATCTCTTTCTGCCGGTGATGTCAAAGCGGGTTTTTCTATTTTCGTGCAGACGCTAAACTAAAGTCAATATTTCACTATTGAGTGCGCTGTAAGTACACGATAAGTTTTTGCTAAAAATATATAAACCGGCTCTTTGCTCGTAATAGCGCCATAAAACCGTTAATTATCGGGTGGAGTTGAACAAATCCCATTCCGAATAATTTCCTGATGTCTGACACTCGCCTCTCCCGAAACTTGACAATTAAAATTCCATCGGCGTCTTTTGTGACGACTCCGCCCGTGTACAAACCTCGTTATTCTTTTCTCGCTGAACATTAATCAATCTGCTTAGGGCCTTTTGAAATCTAGCTAATGCTCCCGAACGCCTCAAACTTTCATGATATTAACGCTGGAGCGGATCTCCGGCCAGTAACAGTCTAGTTACAACGTGTTTCCGAATGGTGAATAAATTATGAGGGATGCGAGGGTTAGAATTTTAACTGGACCACGCAGCGCTGGCGGGAATCACCCAAAAGCCAGCGTTTTAAGAAAACACAACCCGAAAACGCCAGCAAAAAATCCAGTCTCGATGCATCGATAATGCTGGAGCTATAGTTAGACGCGAGGTTCGTTCACTCCGGGTTGCTCACTCCGCATATTAATAACCGTAATCGAGTGTGTAAAATCGCTTTTTATTGTGAGTCATACGAGCGAAATGTTTTTTAAAATATCGTCGGGCGGGGGTGCTGACCACTAGACTATCAGGCAAGATTGATTATTTTTAGCTCGCGATTATTCGATCTAGCCCGCGAGGAGCAAATATGCAAATCGTGAAAACTTATTATAAATTTCCAGCGCAACACAACTACAACCCAGCAGTTCCGTGCGTTTGAAAAGCTCCCTCTCACAAAGTGAGTCCTGCATAAAACGCTCCACCTCGAAGCAGAAAAGTGCTGACAATTATAGCGACATTAATCTTAAGTTGCCTTTTAGCTAGAACAACTGCTTTTATAAAACTGTAGCACCGTTAAAAATAAATCACGGCCATTCGCGACAACTCTAAGTTTTTACTACCACCATACAAAGTCAAAAACCCTAAATAACGGCCTCACCGCGTTGACAATAAAACAAACCGCCCTTTCCAACAGATTTCCAAGACGTTTTAAATCAGAAATAAGCGACTTTTCTTTTTTCCGGCGATTATTTTCCCTCATAAGTCTCCGGTACCTGCGCGGGCACAATGAAATCTGTTTGATGTTTAGGATCGGATGCGCAAGGAGATTAACGTGTCAGCGAGGGTCGCTTTTTAACGAGCCAGATGCACAAAGGAGAAAAAGAGGAGCGGTGAAAAGTCGCGGGACACGACGAATGGCATCAATCACTTTGTAGTCATAACGGGGAATTAGGCGGTATTTTTGGCGCAAGGTCGGCGACGAGAGCCAATTTTTCGATGCGACGCCGAAAGATGGGAATTAATAACGCCGGAATTATGAAATGTGAACATCAGAAAAAAAAACAGACAAACAACAGTCGTTAAACATTTTTTCGAGTTTCTATGTTTTCCACTTCTATGGATTTATTTTAATCTTCTTTGGTTGCTTACTTTTACCACTGTTTTTGCTAAAATTTCACAAGCTTACTAAATTTTATTGATTGAATTTGGATATTACGTCGATATACGTATTCTGTTAGCAAATATTCGTTTATTAACAGCTACACATTTCTTGGAAGTTTTGCAAACAACATCAATAATCTCAGCGTAAATTTCGATACAAAGCTGTAACGTAATTGTTGTCGCGATAATTTGCACTTAACATCCAAATTAGTCGTTAATTTTAAACAAAATACTTTTTTTGCAACATAAAAAATACACTATCAATTTTATTTAGCTCAGTGGTCTTAAAACTTTGATCTGCGCATGCGTCACTAATGACATTGCGACAATTAATTCGGTAATTGTTCAACTTCGAATTGTTCAATGAATAAATGTTTTAATTTCAGTGTTTTCGAACAAACAAGTAAGTTTGTGATAAAATGAACCCTCGTTATAACAGTTTAATTCCAGGTTTTGTGAAGGATTGTCCCAGCGATGTTGTTTTGGTCAATTATACCTAATACATTAATCCTCGGAGTTGGCGTCGTAAGCCAGTTCAATTCTTGTTAGAAAATGCTTAACACACATAATATTGTAGACCTGATGAAGTTTAGAACCCAATAAAAGAAACGTCGTGATGAAAACTTGGTCCTAAAGTCATGAAGCCCCACGTCCCCACAGCCTCCTTTTATTTTAATTGTACGAAGTGGTCTGAACCAAAGTAAGTTTAACTGCGAAATTTCAGTTTATTTCCGGTATTTATACCAAAATCCGTGAATATTAAGTGCGTGTTTGCACAATATTTAAGTGAAATGTAGTTATTCATCTCCTCATGTCAAAATTTTTTTAATTATTAGCGCAGCCAACTCGATTTTTCTGAAATGCTGATCCCCAGTAAGGGGGCGGGGTTAACCATATAATTAATTCTCAGTTCAGCCAAGTTTATTTTTCTGAAATAGTGTCAATGTCTTAAAATTAAAAGTGATGAGAAGAGAAAAATGCCATAAATTGGAATGGTAGCAGAATTTATGTGGCTGTTTTAATGTAATTTAGTTTGTTTATTTTTTCTTTTTATATTTTTCCAATTTTTGGGTTTTTATTTATTTTTATTGTGTTTTTATTTCCAGGCATAAACTAAGCAATAGGGTCCATTAAGGAATGATCATTTCATGTTTTCTTGACGTTTCATAGCATTTAGAGTATGACAAAGTAGATCCCCGTTTCCATATGTCTATCGTCTGGTGGTTGTCTCAAAAATTTAAAATAATACAACAAACTTTATAATTTATCAACACCAATTGCTGTGACATTTTATACATGGTTAATTGCTAATAAAATTTATTTGTCATCCCTTCCAAAATGTTGATGGCGTCATCGTGAAACCTTGCAAAGCCAACCTTATTGGAAGTGTGTTTTTACATTTCGATTTAATTACTTGTTCCATTTAATATTATAACAACGTTATATCGGGAAGAAAACCAGGCAAAATTTAAAAATACCCCGTTTGCCCAATTCCTTTCCGGTTTATTAACCCCGCTTGTCTTGAATTCAAAACTGATATTCGTACGAATCTGATTTTAATATCTCCCAACAAGAACGCAATAAAATTTAATGCTAAACAACTGGAAAATGCGATAAGGAACACAGTAATAAATACACATTTTTTTTAATATCGCGCGTTACATCTCGGCATTATTGAGGAGCAGAAAATAAGATAATTACGGAAAACATTTCCATACTGATTCGTTGAGAAAATAAAAAGATTCATAAAAAAGGTAATGTTAAAACCCCCAGAATCGTTGTAACGAATAAAAGCTAATAAAAAGCGTTCTTTTTTCCCTTTTTTCTGTACACCGTTCTAATTAATTAAAATATAAAGTAACAAGGTTATTAACGAAAACAATAGCTTTAAAACAAAAGAAGCGTGCTGAAAATTCGACGCTAAGCAGATTTCCACTGACCTTTTGCAAAATTTAAAATCGCTGCCTTCTAACTGATGTTTTTTTTTTGAACAAAACACAGTTGAATAAAACGATCCGCCCGCTCTCTGAAATACTTTTCCTCGTTTTATTTATTCGCTCGCAGAAAGTGTATTAACGTTATAATTAAAGCCACAACGTGTCAAAAGCCGGAGCGTCGTTATTTATTTTATGTTAAAACGTATCAAACTCGTTCCTTTCAAATCCACCTAATGGCCGAGGGATCGATCGAAAATGGTGGATGCGTCGGTTCTGTATTTTATGGCAGTCGCAACAATGCCACATAAAGGTTAACAGTAGCGCCATGTTGCATCAAATTAACGAATTTTAATCAATCACATGTAGTCAGACGAGATGTAATCATTTGCCGAGGTAAATCGAACGTGAAAAGCCATAAATTTTAAATGGAAAGCATCGATAAGTCGAACGAAATATCGTTCTGGAAAGTAAATAAAAGTTGTGTAATCATAAGTATTGCAAAAGCTATTACATTTGCTTGGGCTGAATCGGGAGCACTTGTCATGGAGGAACAGGAAAGCATTTTCTGTTTATCGCTTTGTGAGATGGCAAACGTGACGATGATCTTTCAGAGGGGATTTTAATATTAAAGGGTCAAAATGTGGCATCGAACTGATAAGTACAACGGCCGCCAATAACGCGGGATACTAATAATAATTTGAGATATTTATCTTTCACCGACTGCGTTTTTCGCTAGAATTTCGCTACGTTGTTTTTGTTTCATTCCGCGGCTACAAATCGGGATCTACGACGTCATACCCAAAAATGAGCTCGCTTCTGTCGTTGTTCTGCAATCAATTGTGACAATTGCGCATGTGAGTTTATGTTTCCTTCCTTTTTTCCAATCACCCCGTGAATCGGTGTCGACCCGCATGCATGCAGCTCGTATTTTACCAAAGTAACGCGAGCTGTCATAAATAACGGGGTTGAATTTGCGCCGGCCATAGCAACCCCTCTACTTATCAATAATGCAGAGAAAGCGGTCGACAGCACTGTTATCGTAATTAGCGACGTGTAAATTACACGTGTCTTGCTGTAACCGGTCGAGTTTTACATGATTTAATTGACGTCCGTACACGAGCCGAGCCGGACGTGAAAAATCTCACGCAAATACCGATGCTGAAATACACGGGGTTTTGTATTTACCTGCGTAAAGAAAATATCCAACGAGGATTTTTACTGTTGTTTGGTCTTTGTGGTGTTTGTGATTTTTCCTTTGTTGATTAACATGTTTGTGTTTGTGAGGGCGGAATGTTGGAATTAATTAAATGATCAAAAGGGACTGGATCTGACCGGTCGACGGCCTGAGAGTGCAGGGAATGACAGATTTTTTTGTAAAAGAAGACGGTCGATGGTAAATATTTAAACCAATTAGGACGTTTTGCATTTTTAATAAATGTACTACCGGTGGGATCAGTGACACCGAACAACGTTTAATCTTCACACGTCCGCGTAATTGGAGCAGCTGTGGAGCGTTAAAAATGTATGGGTTTTTTCAAAAATGGCACAAAACAAGCAACACAGGGTGGGTATAGAGTTCGGTGTTCTTTGTTCGGTTGTAACGATAATTCGGATTCAAGATCCTTTTGCTTTTTTTACTTTGTCGATAGTACGTCTATATCCGAAACTACAGGACCGATTGTTGTCGAATTCTATATGTGTGTTAGGATTAGAAATGTCGTGTGATCGTGTATGGCGAATTTAAATGTTGTTTATTGCAATTTTTGAAACTTTAATACTTGTTCGATTATAGTTGAATATCAGAGTCATAGAAATTGAACATTTAAATGGAATTGAGGTAAATAACACAGAAACACGTGGCGGGAATGGAGTGCGCGGTTTCTTGTCGAGCTTCCAACCACGACTGTAACCTTTGCAGGAACCTTCTCTTATTATGATAGATAACGCAGGTTATCATAGTAGACTTGAGGTGTCAATTTAGTTTTCATTTGACGACGTCACCTCAAAATTTTGCGTGGTAAATGCTATTTAAATTTAAAAAATACATACATTAGGTAACAAATTTTCCTTGTTGTGGGTATAACTCTTGGAAACCTGGCGAAAATATTTCCACGGCGTGTAACCCGTGCCGCCGCCCTCCTTCCTCTTTCCCGGCAAGATTAACGAAAAATCATCAACTCTCCTCCACCTCCGGAAAAACCGGCACCATTACGTGCGATAAATCCCGCAAATGCGCTTAAACGTCCCGCCATTAATTCGTCGGCCGCGACCGCATCGGTTTCGGCAATTTCAAAAAACAAACAACTCGTATAACTCACGGTTTGTCCGAATTGATCTCCGGTATTGTCGCAGCACGACGAAGGCAATAATTTATTTCGTTTCATATTGCGCCGGGCTCGAAACGTGTCCGTGAAAAATGAGATAAAGCGTGATGTCGTTGTAGAATTCGCGACGACTTATTCAGATAAGGAAGCAGTTCGATTATGATAAAATCCGCTGTAAGAATCGGAGAAGGCGAGGGAAAATCGACACCTGCAGCTTAGCGCCCTACATAATTCGCCGCATAATTCAATTAACTCCGGGCCTGGCGAGATTAGAGCGTGGGCGCCGAAAATCGGACGTTTTTGACGGGGGGTCAGCCATAATTTCCAGCAATCGAACTTCAAAACTAGAGTCACAAGTCGGCGGCGCTTCTTTATTCAAGGGGTGGATCGCGCTCTATGCCGAATTTAATGCAGCGAATAACGAGATGAGATGCGAACGAACTTGTTGAGGGTGAAATTTGTCGGAAGAACGAATCTTTGAACGTAGCATGTCCGGCTCAACGAGAAGCCGCTATCCACGACTCCGTCGTTCGTAGTTGTAATTGTGGCGCAGTCGGTAGGATTCGATACGCAACACACGAACGTTTACCGCAATAATCGAGGTTATAAATTTTAACCTTTAAATTTCCTCTCGGACAAATGAAGCTGTGGAATTCGGTCCGTGGTTTAGGTTTTTTGCTTCCTTGCGGACCTCCCAGGTGCAACGCTCTCTAACTATCTCGTTGCCGTTTCGACGGGTCGTAAATTCTGCAGCGGCGCTTCCGCCTTCCCACATGTCATAATCGCGTCCATTAATCCAGCAACTATTTTGAAACTCGTGCAGCGTTGCATGTCGTTGCACGGTTAGATTTACCGTTGACAAGGGTAGTCTCTTACCGTAAGCAACCCTTATCTCCTGATAGAGAAATGTCGCAATGAAATACCGGCCGCTTTCCAAATGGAAATGCTGTGACCGGCCGTATTTATGAAGGTGCGCCTCAGATTGCGGCTATCTTGCGATATCGTCGGATTTATGTACGACTAATTTATGAATTTCGTGATGTACTTTCTTGCAGGGGATCCATCATTCGGGCCTGATTTATGGCGGGCTTGTTAATAGATAAATACTGTCGCGATTCGAAGCAAGGGTGAGCGTGGAGTCGTTAAACGCCACTTTCTGGTGTAATTAGGGCGAGAACGTGTTTTATTCGCGGAGAAAATGGGAGTGTAGGCGTACGCTGGAATTGTCGGATTTTACGGTGGTAATACGAAGCTTATTAAATCTAATTGGTCGGTGTTTGAGAAGAAATAGGAGAAGAGGGCTGCGATGACACCGAGCCGTTTTTTACCCTTCGGTTTTAATTACTGGGGGCGAGATTGCGAATTTTAGGAATGTAGAATCGGCGGGATTGATTGATGGCGCTCAAAACGCGCCATCGAGGGACTCGTGACGCGCTGAC